AGGTTTAACCTATAGGTAAAATAAGCTGGGGTGGTTATTCTTCAGGTGATCCCATATACTCAGTCGTGTGAGGTTACAGCACTAAAATTCTCAGTGGGATAAACTTACATCACCCACAGAAATTCTCAACAGGTGTAACTTATCAAACGTTGAAACTCACCTGTGATTAATAACCTTGCGACACAGTAAACACCCCCCTCCCCCACCTTAATTAACACACACCTGTACACGTTATCCTCACCTTCCCCAACTCTGTAAAAATCCCTTTCATAACTTACACCTTCAGATAGTGACTCAACACCCCAAACACGTTATCATCAGCGCCTCACGTCGTCATCAGCACCTCACATCATCATCAGCACCTCACGTCATCATCAGCATCTCACGTCATCAACTGCACCTCACGTCATCAACTGCACCTCACATCATCATCAGCACCTCACATCATCTGCACCTCACATCATCATCAGCATCTCACATCATCATCAGCACCTCGTCATCATCAGCACCTCACATCATCATCAGCATCTCATCATCATCAGCACCTCCGTCATCAACTGCACCACATCATCAACTGACCTACATCATCATCAGCATCTCACATCATCATCAACCTCACGTCATCATCAGCATCTCACGTCGTCAACTGCACCTCACATCATCATCAGCACCTCACATCATCATCAGCACCTCCACATCATCATCAGCACCTCACATCATCATCCTCCATAATCCATCCACATCATCAGCACCTCACGTCATCATCCTCACGTCATCATCAGCACCTCACATCATCATCAGCACCTCACGTCACCATCAGCACCTCACATCATCAACTGCACCTCGTCATCATCAGCACCTCACATCATCATCAGCACCTCCGTCATCATCATCTCACATCATCATCAGCACCTCACATCATCATCCATCTCACATCATCATCAGCACCTACATCATCAACTGCACCTCCGTCATCATCAGCACCTCACATCATCATCAGCACCTCACGTCATCATCAGCACCTCACATCATCATCAGCACCTCACGTCATCTGCATCTCATCATCATCAGCACCTCCATCATCATCAGCACCTCACGTCATCATCAGCACCTCACAGTCATCATCAGCATCTCATCATCATCAGCACCATCATCATCAGCACCTCACATCTTTCACAGCATCATCAGCACCTCACGTCATCATCAGCACCTCATCATCCTGCACCTCCTCTCATCAGCACCTCACATCATCATCAGCACCTCGTCATCATCAGCACCTCACATCATCATCAGCACCTCCGTCATCATCAGCATCTCCATCATCATCAGCATCTCCATCATCATCAACATCTCCGTCATCATCAGCATCTCACATCATCATCATCTCACATCATCATCAGCATCTCACATCATCATCAGCATCTCACATCATCATCAGCATCTCACATCATCATCAGCATCTCACATCATCATCAGCATCTCACATCATCATCAGCACCTCACGTCATCATCAGCACCTCACATCATCATCAGCATCTCACATCATCATCAGCACCTCACGTCATCATCAGCATCTCACGTCATCATCAGCATCTCACGTCATCATCAGCATCTCACGTCATCATCAGCATCTCACGTCATCATCAGCATCTCACGTCATCATCAGCATCTCACGTCATCATCATCAGCACCTCACATCATCATCAGCATCCACGTCATCATCAGCATCTCACGTCATCATCAGCACCTCACGCCATCATCAAGACCCCACGTCATCATCAGCATCCGCCGTCATCATCGTCAGCATCTCACGTCATCATCAGCACCTCACGTCATCATCAGCATCTCACGTCATCAACCGCACCCCACATCATCATCAGCATCTCACATCATCATCAGCATCTCACGTCATCAACTGCACCTCACATCATCATCAGCATCTCACATCAATGCATCTCGCGTCATCAACCGCACCTCATCATCATCAAAGCATCTCCATCATCATCAGCATCTCACGTCATCAACTGCACCTCACATCATCATCAGCATCTCACATCATCATCAGCATCTCACGTCATCAACTGCACCTCACATCATCATCAGCATCTCACATCATCATCAGCATCTCACATCATCATCAGCATCTCACATCATCATCAGCATCTCACATCATCATCAGCATCTCACATCATCATCAGCACCTCACGTCATCATCAGCATCTCACATCATCATCAGCACCTCACATCATCATCAGCATCTCACTTCATCAACTGCACCTCACATCATCAGCATCTCACATCATCATCAGCACCTCACATCATCATCAGCATCTCACGTCATCATCAGCATCATCATACTCTTCATTGGAAATCTAGTGGTAAGAGCTTCAGACGAGGGACAGGAACCACACCGCACCTACTGAGTTACAGGGAACCAACACAAACTAGGTAGTGTCTTTCTCAGTGTCACGAACCTTCAGGTAAAAACACGAAAAACGAAGGAGAGAATTAAGACCTAAGTCACCACACCTATACCCAGAACTGGTTACTGGTATACTGGGTGTGATAACTCCCCTCTGACGTTCAAACATGGTATAAAAAACGGAGAATAATATAAGTCTCATCTCTACGTGGAATCAAATGCTGTACAGTGTTTGTTATTTCCCTGTAGAAGGTATCAAAATCTCTGACGCGTGAATCTCTTATAGAAAACGGGGAAAATAAACAAAAGCCTATCGTATACATAGAATTGAACGCCTTAAGTATTAAATAATCCCCCGTAGAAAGTATCGAAGGATCTGATTTATATATTACAGAAAACGGGAAGAATAAACAAAAGCCTAACTCATACATGGAACTATATGCTAAAATGACTTGATAATCTCCCGTAGAAGGCGTTGAAGGAGGTAAGTAGGGGGAAATGACTCCTTCTTTCATGGCGTCATATAACCAGTCTTTCCCTCGCTGTTTATGAGGGTCTTCCCTGAAAACTTGTATGAGAGAGAGAGAGAGAGAGAGAGAGAGAGAGAGAGAGAGAGAGAGAGAGAGAGAGAGGTGAGACTTATTGTTTAAACCCTGGACGGAAATGGTCAGGTGTAGGGAGTATTGTGTTTTTTTTAATTCTGTTCTTGTTCTTCCTTTCTTCTTTGTTCTTCCTTTTGCATTTTTCTTCTTTAATACAATATTTTTTTTTATATTCCTTAATAAAAAATAATTAAAAAATAGCGAAAAAAAGATGAATGGACAATAAAGACAGACAGACGATTATGTATATACCCCTGAAGTAAGGTAAAAGGAGGGGGGTTAAAAAGTTACCTGTACAACTCATCTCTCTACCCATATAGAAACAGACACAGACAGACAGACAGACAGACAGACCCTCTCACTTGGGTTCTTTTACGTGAGGAAATTTTGTCAGTGTTGATTAACTTACCTGTTCTCAAGCCACACCTGTGATGACGTGTGTGTGTGTGTGTGTGTGTGTGTGTGTGTGTGTGTGTGTGTGTGTGTGTGTGTGTGTGTGTGTGTGTGTGTGTGACTACCTTGGTTCCTGTGTTAATGTAATCAGCAAATACACCCCGGATGACCTTGCTAATTCGGGGTCAGCTAATGTGACCTCTGTCCACACGCGACTTTAGTTCTCATTAACGAGGCAATTAGCTCAGGTATATTTAAGATAATTAGTAGACACTCTTAAGAAAATATTTATCTTTAACTTAATCGTGTTTATCATTTACTATCTTTATCATATTTATACACATTATCCCTTAACCAAAACAAACAAACAATAAATAACGAAAAATAGTAAATAATAAATAAATAAATAAATAACACTAATTAGTCGTATCCTTGAGGTTTGTTTCATTCTCACCCGCCATTACCTCGCCAAATAGATTTCTCCGGGATGTGAACGAGTAAATATATTTGTTCCTGACCGTCCTGTAATCTCACGAACATGGACGAGTGAATGGTGTTGATTTTCTTAATTGACATCTCGTTAATCTAGTGGGTATTTTTAAATAGGTTTAGTTCGTTAATAGCGATGAGAAAGTGGCTGTAATCTGGCGGATGTTTGGGGGTAAATTTGGTGACGTTTTTTGCCATATGTGATCTAGTGTTTGTTTGGTTCAGTGTTGATGTTTTTGCTGTATGTGATCCAGATTTTTTTTACCTAGTATTGGAATTTTGTCGTATGTGATTTAATATTTTATTTGATACATTGTTGACGTTTTTAGCTGTATAAGATCCATTGTCATAATAGTTTAGGTTGAGAGTGTATGAACCCTGATAGTGTTATGGAAATTGGTATGGCAGTGATGGTAGTAATAGTAGTAGTGAAGGTAGGGATGATGGTGGTAGTGATAGTGATGGTGGTGGTGATGGTGGTAATAGTGATCTGTGATGGTGGTAGAAGTGGGAGTGATAGTGTTCTGTGATAGTGGTAGTAGCAGATGTGTTAGTAATGGTGGTAGTGGTGGTGATGGTGGTAGTAGTAGTAGTGAGGGTAGTAGTGGTGGTGATGGTGGTAGTAGTGGTGGTAGCAGTGGTAGTGATGGTGGTGGTAGGAGTAATAGCCGTGTCGGGGGCAGAGGTTCCTAGAATTACCAGCTCTGGGATACCTTGACTGGTTGGTTGGACGGTAACCTCCTCCTTCCTCCTAACCCCCTCCCCCTTCCTCCTAACCCTCCCCCCCATCTCTTCCTCCTAATCCTTCCCTCCACTTAACGCCTCGAATGGATAAAATTTCTATTAAATATTATACATAAAAATCACTTATATATTCAAAACATGTATGCATTATGTAGTAGTGAAAATATAAATTATGTAACACGGAAATATTTACAGACGATGGAGCTTCAATGAGTCATGAATGTTTTGATGATGGAAGCTGATTCATTTGTTTTATTTGTCAAGTTTCGAAGCATTGTTTGTTGTAGTTGTTGTTTTTTGTTTGGGGGGGATTGTTTATAATATTAATTGTTATGTTGTTTTGTTTGCAGATCTGAGGGCGGTGTAGTGTGGCGTGATCTGGCGAGTTTTGGGCGGGTGTTGTCGTGCCTGGCTCCCTCTGTTGGCGCGACTCTCAGGCAGGACAAGCCAAGGCCTCGACCCGCCGCTTATAACTGTCCGTGCCGGGGCGGAGGGTTCAGTCCGTCCCTAGGGCCCCGACGTCGAGCACACGCTCCCTCTTACCCCCACCCGGGAAGCCAGCCAGCCAGGGACAGCCCTTGTAACTCCGGAGTGTCCCTAGCAGTGCCAGTGCTCGCGGGAATCCATCCACTCTTCCTCCACGAACGGAACTCACGAGCCTAAAAGAAAGGAGTTACCCAGCCCAGCGGGACGGGCCCAAACACAAGTCTTGTCTGAGTGTGGTGATGAAGTGTTGACGTTGTTGTTGTTGTTGTCGTTGTTGTTGTGATGAGTGCTCGTGTCACACCCGCGGGGAGATAACACTTGTCTTGACCACACCACACAACAGAGGTTTAGTACCACCTTCACCGGGACTTATTACATACTGCTTTTTGTTGTGAGCTGAAGACAATAATACTCATTGGATCTACCCTGCCACCTCTACTGCGTCTGTCACCAGGTGTGTATCTCGTGTGTTTAACCTTAGCTTATACAGGTGCCGTAAGGTATTAGTCTCTCTCCAGACACATAAAAACTCTAATTGGTGAAGGTGTTTACATTATCCTCATTACCTGCGTCGTTCTTAGTTGTATTAGACGAGGAAATTCCTTTAATCCGTCATCATTACGGGAGGCTGAAGGTGATGATGGTGTGTTGGTGGTAATGTGGTAATGATGATAATGATGACAATGATGAACCAGCCCTTTGTCAACACACACACTCTCTCTCTCTCTCTCTCTCTACTCACATTCATACATACACTCACATCTCCACATTAACATACACACGTATAATGTACTGTATATAAACATTACAAACATACGGACAGCTTCAATGTTCAAATAACCACCGAGTCTCTAGTAACTCAGGTGGGAGATTTTAATGCCCAATAGGAAGTGATCTTTGCTATTTTATCTATCATAGTATACACAGATAGATAGATAGTTAGAGAGGGATAGATAGTTAGATAGTTAGAGAGGGATAGATAGTTAGATAGTTAGAGAGGGATAGATAGTTAGATAGTTAGAGAGGGATAGATAGTTAGAGAGGACTGATGTGGTTAGGTGAATAAAAGTGTGTGAATGGCTTATTTTTTTAAGTTCCAATCACACACACACTTCTTGCTTGTGTTCCAACTACTACTACTTCTTCTTCTTCTTCTTCTTCTTCTTCTTCTTCTTCTTCTTCTTCTTCTTCTTCTTCTTCTTCTTCTTCTTCTTCTTCTTCTTCTTCTTCTTCTTCTTCTTCTTCTTCTTCTTCTTATCTTTCTCCAGTTCCTCCCTTTTTCTCATCCTCCTCCTTATCCAACCACCCCCTTCTCCTCCTCCTCTCGTTCTCCTACTGCTGTCTTCTTCTTCCTTCCTCCTACTGTCTTCCTCCTCCTTTCACCTCCTACTCCTCCTCCTACTACCTCCTTCTCTTCCTCCTCCTCCTCCTCCTCAGCAGTAGTATCCTGGTCAAGTTTCACATCAAGTGGTGTTATGTGGTGTTAACTAGTGTTAAGTGGCGTTAAGTAGTGTTAAGTGGCGTTAGGTTGTGTTACGTTAAGTTGGGTGCTACGTTAATGGTGTTGCTTTAAGCTGGGTTAGGGTAGGTTAGGTTAGGTTAGGTTATGTAAGATTGGGTTAGGTTAGGTTGAATTATTTTAGATTTGATTATTTTACGTTAGGTTAACTTAGAATAGGTTATGTTAGGTTTTGTTGGGTTAGGTTATGTTGGGTTAGGTTATGTTATGTTAGGTTAGGTTATGTTGGGTTAGGTTATGTTAAACACTTCAAAGAATCAAGCAGCTCAGGTGATAAAGGAGTCGTGGTATTTAAGTGAAGGGACTGAGGGATGGAGGGAAGTGGCTATCATAGGTGGAGGGATGAGGGAAGGTCATTAGACAGATTTTATAGCGGGAACATGGAGGGATGGAGGAACAGGTGGAGGGGGGAGGAGGGATGGAGGGAACAGGTGGAAAGGGGGAGGGAGAGATGGAGGGAACAGGTGGAGAGATGGAGGGGTGCCCACGTGGAGGGGAGGGGAGAGATGGAGGGGAACATGGAGGGGATGGAGGGAACAGGATGGAGAAGGGAGGAACAGGGAGGGAATAGAGGAACAGGTGGGAGAGATGGAGAGAACACATGGAGAGATGGAGGGAACACGTGAGGGAAGGAGGGAACACATGGAGAGATGGAGGGAACACATGGAGAGATGGAGGGAACAGGTGGAGAGATGGAGGGAACGCATGGAGATGGAGGAACACAGGGAGAGGATGGAGGGAACAGGTGGAGAGATGGAGGAACGCATGGAGATGTGAGGAACACGTGGAGGGAAGGAGGGAACACGTGAGGGGTGGAGGGAGATAAAACGCTGTCTTTGTATGAGGTGAGACACCCAAGGCAATCCAGTGTTAGTTATGCTGCCAGCGAAGTTGCGCCACCTCCCCCCACCCTTGCTGCCTGGCACCCCCTCCCCCCCTTGCTTGTGTGTGTGTGTGTGTGTGTGTGTGTGTGTGTGTGTGTGTGTGTGTGATTCTCTGCTGACTGTGTTCTTACTACTACCACTACTACACTATCAACACCACTGCCACCACTAATTCTATCACCACTATCAATACCACTACCACCTCCATTAGTCTCATCCACAGCTAAAATGTCAATCTGGAGGATAGGATAACCCTCATCTATCCTTAGTTTCTATCCTCCCACTCTCTGCACCCATCTCTATCATCCCCCACGTCCTCTGTACCGGTGTGGGGTGACCTTACGACACACCAAATCCCCCCAGTGTTTTGACCTCACCACACAGACAGACACAGAAACACTAAACACGGGTCAACAACACTGCTCACTAAATCCTGATTCTGTTCTAGACAATAAAATAAAAAGTAAATAATTACCTCAAATACTTATAAAAAAAATAAGTATTTACACTTATATAAGAGAAAAATATAGACGAAACATACTTATATAAGATAATAGTAACGTGAACAGATACCTATATATAGAGACATAAACAGAGACTTATATAAACACAAAGTCAGGTAGTTGGTGTTAGTCAGTGTAGGTGTACGATCGGCGGAGAGTGTTGGTACAGGGGAGCCTCAGGTGTGTACTGTGACCACACCTTAAAATTCCACAGGATGTAAGGGAGGGAGGGGGAGACAAGTGGTTAGGGGGTGGAGGGAGGAGTTGAAGAGTTTGTGGAAGGTGGAGGAAATGTGGGCTGGGGGGTGGGAAGAGGGTGTGTGGGGGTGCAGAGGGTATATGGGGTGTAGTGAGGCAAGGGTGTAGTGAGGGTGTGGGAAAAGGGGCAGGAGGGTGTATGGGGTGTAGTGAGTGGCCTGGTGGGTGTAAGGGGGTGTAGTGAGGGTGTATGTGTAGGAGGGTGTATGGGGTGTAGTGAGGTGTGTGTATGGGGGGTGTAGGTGGGTGTATGGGGGTGTAGTGAGGGTGTATGGGGGGTGTAGTGAGGGTGTATGGGGGTAAGAGGGTGTATGGGGGTATAGAGGGTGTATGGGTGCATGGGGGTGTAGTGAGGGTGTATGGGGTGTAGTGAGGGTGTATGGGGGTGTAGTGAGGGTGTATGGGGTGTAGGTAGAGTGTGGGGTGTAGTATGAATGAAGGAAGGAAGGTATGAGGATGTGGTGAAGAAGTAAGGATGGATAAGTGAGGATAAGGATGGAATAGGGACATGGAGAAGGAGGAGAGTTAGTATGAGGGTAAGGACGATAGGGGGGGAGGGGGGTAGTGAGGGAGAAAAGGATGAGGGAGAGAGTGAGGGAACTACTATAACTCCTCCCTCAGTACCTCACCATCCTAGCTCAGGGGCCTTCCAACACCTGTCGTTTGTTAAGCCTATTACACCTTGTCCTGTGATCACCTCTCTCTCTCTCTCTCTCTCTCTCTCTCTCTCTCTGGTCTGTCCTATTAAAGAAAATGTCTGAGGACTCTTTGGTAAAGGTATCGTACGCCTGAGGATGTTGAACTCACTGGTTGGTCATCGTACTCAGAAGCTTAGGTTGTTGTACTCAGGAGCTCTGGTTGTCCTACTCAAAGTAATAATAGTAAAACAGCTTAAAACACCTTGAAATGTATTTAAAACCAAAGTTGTTTATTATCACAGGTGTGTAAATCAACAGCCTGATGTACCTGTAATAAGAGACTCTGTGTTTGCTGATTCAACAGGTGTGAGTTAGTGTAAATAAAAGGGTTCTGTTCCATCTTTTATTTTTGATATTTTGTTTCTGAATCATAAAGTTGCTGTTGTTGTTATTGTTAAACCGACAAGATGGCGGGTCATTACCGGAGAGTTTTTTTATTTTTTTATTTTTTACAACATTTTTGTCTTTGTTTTTTAAGGAAGTGAATGGGGGAGAAACTTAGCTAGTTTTATATACATTTTTTTTTTGGTGTTATTAATATACATGGAAAGATACACATATGGATCACTACACATGTACACTAAATATCTTGTCTGTACACATTATACAAATATGTAAACACACACACACACACACACACACTAAAAACAAACATTCACACACATTCCACCCCAAGAAAACACACACACCTATACATATACTGTACACTCCACCCTACACACACACACACACACACACACACACACACACACACACACGACACACATGGCTTAGGTGGGCGACAGTGAGACTACATTAATGTTAGTTCACCCACACGACTGTTGCTTCTGGGGACATACGTTAGACAAACACCTAACCTATCCTCCCCACCTCAGTCTCCCAACCTCCTCTCCTCCTCCCAACCCCCTCCCTCCCTAACCCCTCCCTCCCCCCGCCCCTCCTCTCACTGCCCTCTCACCCCTGTCCTCCTCCCACAGATCCTCTCCCAGCCTCCTCACTTCCCCACGGAGTTCTGGATAGCCAAGAGAGCCTGCATGCTGTATCAAAAGTGTCTGTGAGTGAAGGACTGTAGGATTCCATGAGTCCTGCTGCCTTGATCCCTGATGCCCCCCTTACACCTACCTCCCCTCCCGCAGGCTGTTGTGAGGAGGCAAGGTCAACACCACATGCCCGAAGGATACTACACAGGGGCATGGGGGATCCTAGTAGTGTAGGAAGGACTCTGTTTGATGTAGGAACGGAGGGGATAGGGAGAGTAAGCTGTGGGAAGGAAGAATAAGCTGTAGGGTGGGAAAATAAGCTGTAGGAAGGATGAATAAGCTGCGGGAAGGGAGAATAAGTTGTAATAAGGGAGAATAAACCTTTTTCCGTTTCTTTTTCTATCTCTCATTCTTCTTATTTGTCTAAAGTAAAAAAAAACACATGAGGTTTATTAACTATGTGTGAAAAGATGTATAAGAACAAGAGTGACTGGCCTCTGTGTGTGTGTGTGTGTGTGTGTGTGTGTGTGTGTGTGTGTGTGTGTGTGTGTGTGTGTGTGTGTGTGTGTGTGTGTGTGTGTGTGTGAGTATGTGTGTGTGTGTGTGTGTGTGTGTGTGTGTGTGTGAGTATGTGTGTGTGTGTGTGTGTGTGTGTGTGTGTGTGTTTGTTTACGAAGACACTCACCTATAACCATCTTCATCACATCTACTAACATATACTCATTAGTCATCATCAACAACAATAACAACAGGTAACATATAAACAACAACAATAAAACTAACAACAACAACAACAACAGGAAACATATAAACAACAACAATAACAACAGGTAAACAAAAGAAAACAACAATAACACTATAAACAAAGACGCATCGACCCACAGCAAAATATAAATTCCAATGTAAACAAACCGATCCTCAAGGTACAGTGTTAACGTTACTGACTGCAACAACGGAGTGCAAGATAGCAGGTTGCAAGACGTGTGTTGCATATTGGTTTAGTCTTACGAGATTAGGGATTTGCAAGACGATATTATTGTGTTATTTGTGATTCTGTTTGTGTTTAGTCGTGTTGTTGACGTGTGTTGAAGGGTTGAGAGGGGGTGGGGGGGAGTACGCAAACGCCTTTATTTCTGTATCCACGTGTGTGTGTGTGTGTGTGTGTGTGTGTGTGTGTGTGTGTGTGTGTGTGTGTGTGTATGTGTGTGTGTATGTGTGTGTGTGTGTGTGTGTGTGTGTGTGTGTGTCGCTTATAGTCCCTCCCTGACCTTGGCTGACTCCTTACCGCTCACTTCACATATTGTTCACTTTTTACTCATCTCACTGCCTCATATATCACTGTTACGCCTCTCTGCCTCTACAGTGCCATTATTACCATCACCATCTTTATCATCACCATCACTCTACACTGTCATCATCACTATTACCATTCTCTATGCTACCACCATCACCATTATCAAAATAGACAGACAGACAGGCGCATACAACACCTTTCACCACCCCACCACCCTCCCCACCAACCACCCCTACCACCTCCCCACCAACCACCCCTACCACCCTCCCCCCACCAACCACCCCACACCTCCCCCACTAACTACCCCTACCACCTCCCCCCACCAACCACCCCTACCACCTCCCACCAACCACCCCTACCGCCCTCCCTCACCAACCACCCTACCACCCTCCCACCAACCACCCTACTGCCCTTCCCCACCAACCACCCCTACCACCCTCCCCCACCAACCACCCCTACCACCTCCCCCCACCAACCACCCCTACTGCCCTCCCCCCACCAACCACCCCTACCACCCTCCCCCACCAACTACCCCTACCACTCTCCCACCAACCACCCCTACCGCCTCCCCCACCAACTACCCCTACCACTCCCCAACCAACCACCATCACCAACTCACCACCACCACCCCTACCACTATCACCAGCCCCAACCCATCACCATCACCACCACCATCTTCCCCACCACTACCACTAACCCTCACCTCGTCCCTCAGAGATACAGACAGACAAACAGACAGACTGACAGACAGACTGACATCTCCCTGTCCCCCATAAGTCTTACTCCCGTCTTATTATCTAACATTATAAAAGACGGGAAACTAATTACTACTTTACTATTCAACTCTCCTCCTATTCACCTGTCCCTCAGAGTAATTAGCACCTGTATACATCATGAAGACAATAATAACAATGACAATAATAATGACGTGTGACTTCCCCAAATACCTAATGGATATGGAATCAAAGTCGAAAATCCAACGTGTATAGAGAAATGCCGACAATATCCATAGACTTATTGTGTGGATAATGTTTATATCATTCTCTTGTGAGGTTCTGGAGGTGGATAATGTCTTGGTGTTTTAAATAAGGATTGTTTACTGATAAGAGGTCGATAGTGGTTTTATTACGCACAAGGAACTCGTTATGGGTGATAGGAGAGGAATTGATTGAAGAACACACACACACACACACACACACCCATACACACATACTCAGCCATGTAGATCAAGTGAGACTAGACACCTGACAGACAGAGGGGGAGGGTACGGTAAGCCATCCAGGTGTGTGTGGAGGTAATTTAACCCAGGTATGGTCAGGTATGGTTTGGCACCTGCCCAGCTACCACCGACAACTGTCTTGTGTGTCACTGTGATCTTTCTGCACACACACACAGCTCTTCAATTTTCCAGGTAATAAGTCTTAATAATACAACTAAATACACCTTATATCATATCATTATTTCGTACCATTATTTCTTATCGTTATTTCCTATCGTTATCTCCTATCGTTATCTCCTCTCGTTATCTCCTATCGTTATCTCCTATCATTATTTCCTATCATTATATCCTATTTTATTTTATTTTATTTCATTTCATTTCATATTTTCCTACCTGCATTTCTTGTTATCATACTTAAGTAATTATTAAAAAAATATCCCTCTGTAAATATGAAGAAAAAAAACACGGATCCGAAACCGTTTAGTCTGAGTCCGGGTTTGGGGATTCGAACCCTTGAAGAGTCGACTGGGTTTGAGTATTCGAAACACTTGGGTCTGAATCCCCTAAAGCAGGAATGATTGTTGTCTCTCGTGGTGAAACTTATTATTTATTTTATATACAGTGATGTGACATAGTGGAGAGGCACTGTTTACATATCTTTTATTTTAACCGTGTTGTGTAAATAAGGAGTCAGCTTTGATATATCCTGATGGTGATGTGGCTGACGTTGATGGCTGACGTTGATGGCTGATGGTGGTGGCTGACGTTGGTGTTGGCTGATGGTGGTGGGTAAAGGTGGTTAATAGTCTTTTTGTTTTTGTTATGATTATATGTGTTTGTGTCTATGTATGTCTATGTATGTCTGTATGTCTGTATGTCTATGTATGTCTGTATGTCTGTATGTCTTATCCCTCTAAAATTATATTCTTATTTTACATTATATTTCCTCATGTTTATCACCATTTAATAACATATATCTCCCTTCTCTCCCTCTACCAGGATGAGTGCCAAACAGTGCCTACTGAGGGTGGCCCTGGCGTGTGTCACCTGCCTCACCGCCCACGCCCACATTAATTCACAGGTAAGTCCAATTAATCGTTTATCTGTTATTATCTTTTATCTATTTTTTTCTTCCGTTTACCATCATTAAGCAAACATTATTTTTGATATATTTTTCTCGTTATTTATTTCGTTAATATTTCAACCTTTCACTTTTTTTTCGTTGTTATTTTCTCCCTCTTCATTATATTCTTGATGCGTCATTTCCGTTTTCATAGTTATTTCAATTACGTTTTTTTGCTATCTAATCTGACGTTGTTGAGTTACGTCTGGCAGTGCGTTGAGCTAGACTCTCTCTCTCTTCTTCCTTTCCCTTTCTCTCATTCTCTTCTCCACCTCTCTCTCCTCTCCCCTTCCCTCACTCTCCCTACCTCTGATGTCTATAGTCGATTTAGGGAACTGACTTGTCTATGGAGTCAGGATTCTAGCTAAGGTGTTTACAGGTCCATATCGTAGGTAGTGTACCGGGGGCACTATAGACGAACGAATATACGATAATCGCCTACATCCGCCACCACTGACCTCCCTGGTATGACATTCTCCTTTGAGGGTAGCCATGATGAACCCCCACCCCCACTCATCCCCTCATCCTCTTATTTCCCTTTCACTCCCCTTCTCTATCCCTCCTCATTTGCCCTCTTCTTCCCTCAACCCTTCCTTACACCCTCGCTTTCCCTTCTTCATCCACCATTCCTCTTCTTTCAACCTATTTCTCCCCCTTTTTCTGTTCTTCCTTACCCTCCCCTTAAATCCCCTCACTTATCTTCATTCTTCCCCCACCTTCCACTCCTTTCTCCATTCACCTGCCCTGACCCCCCACAAAACAACATTCTACAGACACGATGCTCCCTACACCTCACGTCTGGCCGAAGTAACCTGAAAGTATTACCTGTCACAAGGCCACGCTCACCTGGTCTACTTTTTCGGGTTACGTGTACCACTTGACACACACACACACACACACACACACACACACACACACACACACACACACACACACACAACATCATTATGTAAACCATTCCCACCACCACCCTGCTGCCGCCTCTGTTATGTAAACTATGTGTGTATTATGGTCCTCGTGTGTGTGTGTGTGTGTTTTTGGTTACGTCACTTATGTTTTTATTTCTGTGTTGTGATTTTGTCATGCCTGGTGGTCGCAGGTATTAGTGAAATGAGGTCATTGTGGATATTATATTAGATCATTTGGGGAAGTTTCATGGTAGTGGTGGCGTGAGGGTGGCGTGAGGTGGTGTGAGGTGTGAAGGTGGTGTGGGGTGTGGGGGTGAGGTGGTGTGAGGAGGCGTGAGGGTGGTGTGAGGGTGGTGTGGGTGGTGTGAGGGTGGTGTGAGGAGGCGTGAGGGAGGGTGGTGGCGTGGTGGTGTGGTGGTGTGAGGTGTGAGAGGTGTGAGGTGGCGTGAGGGGTGGCGTGAGGGTGGCGTGAGGTGGTGTGAGGTGTGGTGGTGGGTGAGGGGGTGGCGTGAGGTGGTGTGAGGGAGTGTGAGGTGTGGGGAGGCGTGAGGGGGTGGCGTGGTGGGTGAGGGTGGTGTGGGGGTGGTGTGGGGTGGCGTGGTGGTGTGAGGAGGTGTGGGGTGGTGTGGGGTGGTGTGAGGGGTGGTGTGAGGAGGTGTGGGGTGGCGTGGGGTGGTGTGGGGAGGTGTGAGGGGTGGGTGGTGGGTGAGGGGTGGTGTGAGGAGGCGTGAGGGTGGCGTGAGGGGTGGTGTGAGGGGAGGCGTGAGGTGGCGTGAGGGTGGTGTGAGGGTGAGGTGGTGTGGAGGCGTGGGGGGTGGCGTGGGGTGGTGTGAGGTGGAGGCGTGGGGGTGGCGTGGAGGGTGGCGTGAGGGTGGTGTGGGGAGGTGTGAGGTGGCGTGGTGGTGTGGGGAGGGTGGTGGCGTGGGGGTGGTGCAGGGAGGTGTGAGGGGTGGCGTGGGGTGGCGTGAGGGAGGCGTGAGGGGTGGTGTGGGGGAGGTGTGAGGAGGTGTGGGGTGGCTGGGGTGGCGTGAGGGTGGTGAGGGGAGGCGTGAGGGTGGTGTGAGGGGTGTGGGGGGGTGGGAGGGTGGTGTGGGGTGGCGTGAGGGTGGCGTGAGGGTGGTGTGGGGGAGGTGTGAGGGAGGTGTGGGGTGGCGTGAGGTGGCGTGAGGTGGTGTGGGGAGGCGTGGGTGGTGTGAGGGAGGTGTGAGGTGGGAGGTGGTGTGGGGTGGCGTGGGGTGGCGTGAGGGTGGTGTGAGGGAGGTGTGAGGGAGGTGTGGGGAGGCGTGAGGGTGGTGTGGGGAGGTGTGAGGGAGACGTGGGAGGGTGTGGGGAGGGTGAGGGGGTGTGAGGTGGTGAGGGAGGTGTGGGGTGGTGTGGGGGTGGTGTGGGGAGACGTGAGGGAGGTGTGGGGAGGCGTGAGGGGTGGTGTGGGGAGGTGTGAGGGAAGATATAAAGTGAGAACGTCCTACTCATAGGTCCTCCTCAATGGTCCAGTGGGAGGAACCTAGGAACGTCTCTTTAATCAGTCTCTTGTCTCATCTTTATTCGAGATTAAGTTCAGAAGCCTAAGAAGAGAAAGTTATTACCTAACCTGATTTCTCTCTCTCTTTGTCTTTCTTCTCTTTTCCCCACTTTCCCTTCCTTCCTTCCTTCCTTCCTTCTTCCTTCTTCCTTCCTTCCTTCCTTCCTTCCTTCCTTCCTTCCTTCCTCCCTCTCCCCCTTTCTCCCTTTCCCTACCCCTCCCTCCTCCCACATCCACCTTTCCTTCCTTCCTCCTTCGCTCTCAATACTTCCTGAATGCAATAAGGAGGAGAGAGGGAGGAAGGAGGTAATGTCATGTCAACACACACCCACCTTCCCTCTCCTCCCCCTCCTCTTCCTTCCCCCTCCCTCCCCCCCTCCCGTAGTACAGTATTGCCCACACCCCACACGTTCAGGGACCTCCTTAGCCTAATCTCATCATGGTGACATCAGCTTAGTGACTCGGGTTGGTGATTGTAGTTGGTGACGTATGGTGATTGTGTATGGTGAAAATAATTGGTGATTTTTGGTGGTGGGTTATTGGTGATTTTATTTGGTGAATCCAATTAGTGATTTACACAAACACATACACATTCACACACCACAGGAGCCGCACCTGTACCTTAATTACGCATCCAGGTGTGTGTGTGTGTGTGTGTGTGTGTGTGTGTGTGTGTGTGTGTGTGTGTGTGTGTGTGTGTGTGTGTACCTACCTCTAGCTAACCTCTGAATTTGCTCACACTACCACCACTACCCTCAACACTCATCTAGCCCCCTCCTCCCCCTCCCCCCCTCCCTCCATCCCTCCCCCTCCTCCCTCCCCCTCCCTCCCTCCCCTCCCTCCATCCTCCCTCCCTCCTCCTCCTCCTCTCCTCCCCTCCCCTCAGTATACCTGGAGGGACGTGGCCAAACTTTCCCTCAGTAAACTTTCTACCGTCGCAACTATATCATGAATGAAAGAGTGACCACAGCTGAGTAACCGACGCTGAGTGACGACGCTGAGTGACCGCCGCTGGTAACCGACGCTGGTGACGACGCTGGTGACCGCCGCTGAGTAACCACCGCTGAGTGACCGCCGCTGAGTTTTGAAATCGATGCCTCTCAGGTTCATTTGTCTCTTATCATTTTCTCGATCTCTCGGCCGACGGAATGTTTAGATACATTCCGTCGGCTGAACACCCTAACTCTCCCTTACCCTCGGTCACCTCGGGTCGAGTATGTATGGTAGCTACCTGTGTCTGAATCTGTTTGTTTGTTTCTTCTTCTTCTTCTTCTTCTTCTTCTCCTTCTTCTTCTTGTTCTTCTTCTTCTTCTTCTTCTTCTTCTTCTTCTTCTTCTTCTTCTTCTTCTTCTTCTTCTTCTTCTTCTTCTTCTTCTTCTTCTTCTTCTTCTTCTTCTTCTTCTTCTTCTTCTTCTTCTTCTTCTTCTTCTTCTTCTTCTTCTTCTTCTTCTTCTTTCTTGCATTTCATAGGCCACACCTTAAGATTCACAGGTGTGGCTTCTAGTAATTACATACAGGTGTGGTAGGTATGGAGGTGTTGCTGGGGGAGGGGGTGGTGAAGGGTCAGTGTACCTGGTGTCTGTAGAGGTCACAGCTCCCTCCTCCTCCTCCTTCCTGCCTCCTTCCTCCTTCTTTCTTTTTCCTCCTTCTCTCCCCCTCCTAGCTGCGGTATACAGTACATGTAGTCATTAACTAGGGCCTCCTCCTTTTTCTTCTTCTCTTCCTCCTTCTTCTCTTCTTCTCTTCCTCCTCCGGTTCGTCCTCCTTTTCTTCTTCTGTTCTTATTGTCCCTCTTCCTCCAGCCTTCACCCTCCTCTCCTCTCATTTCATCATCACCACCACCTCCACCTCCTCTTCTTCACCACCACCACCTACTACCACCACTAACACCACCACCACCACCACCACTACCACCACCACACCACCACCACCACCACCCCACCACCCTACCACCACCACCACCACCACCACACCACCACACCACCACACCACCACCACCACCCACCACCACCACACACCACCCACACCACCACCACCACCACCACACACCACACCACCACACCACCACCACCTACCACCACCACCACCCACCACCACACACCACCACCACCCACCACCACACCACCACACCACCCTACCACCCACCACCACCACTACCACCACCACCACCACACCACCACCACCACCACCACCACCACCACCACCACCCACACCCCACCCACCACCACTACCCACACCACCACCACCCACTACCCACTACCCACCCACACCACCCTTTCACACCGTGCTCCTCTATCTTACCTTTAGGGTGAAATGCCATCAAATCTTTTACTCTCTAATATTTTTCCTGTTTTTTTCACTATCAAACCATGTTAGTTAATCAGACGTGTTTGTGGGTCACTTGTTGTAATAACTGGGCCATGGGTGGTATGTAAACATGTTGTTGTGGTGTGCGTGGTAATGTGCATGGTTGTGATGTAGGAGGTGTGTGTTTGGAGTTGTGTTAATGCGTTAATGCGTCAATGCGT